AGCCATGCTGGCTGGGGAATTCTGGGAGTTGAAGTCCACTCATCTTAAAATGGCCAAGTTTGGACAACACTGCTTTAGAGGGAAGGAGTGAAAAGAGAGACACACAATCATTACACAGTCACTTTAGACTCCATCTGCAAGCTCCCATATCCCCTATGTAGTACCCGCTGCTGGCCAGTAATTTTTTTTATTTTATTTTTGTGCCTTTGAGTCAGTGTTGACTCCTGGCGACTGCCTGTCCAAGTCCTTGCAGGTTTTTTGGCGAGGTTTTTTGGAACTGGTTTGCCCTTGCCTTCTCCCAGGGGCTGAGAGAGAACGACTGGCCCAAAGACACCCATTTGGCTTTGTGTCCAAGGCAGAACTAGAACTCAGAGTCTCCCGGTTTCTAGCCCGATGCCTTAACCACGACACCAACTGGCTCTCTGGCCAGCAAAAAGTTAAATATATGCCGGGCCTGGCTTATGAAGTCATTTAGAGCAGGGTTCCTCGACCTTGGCAACTTTAAGATGGGTGGACTTCAACTCCCAGAATTCCCCAGCCAGCCTTGGCACGCCCCTGCACCAGCATGGATGAGCTCACTATCTCATGCATGGCACGCCACTATCTTTGCACAGGGGCTACTTAAATGCAGCCTAATCTGTGGAAGCATGTCAGCGCATTGATTATAACCTAGGAGAGAGGGGAACAATACACATGCACACAGAGGACACATCCGCCTGGAGATATAATGTATATTTCATGGGTATGCATGGAACACAGATCCTTTATCAGTCACAGCTTTGCAGTGAGTTCAGATAAAATAAGATGCATCAGTGTATCAGCTCTGACATACGAAGTTTCTCTTCCCTTACGCCAATATAAATCAATAAAAAAAAAAGGAATCAGCCTGCATGAAACTGCTATCAGAGATTTCATTTATTAAACAACAACAAACCTGGACTTGACACTAAAGGATAAAGATACCGTTAAGCCGAGCTCAACTCCTGCTGATTACACAGATGCATCCATGCAACTTTCTTGAAGGAGTATGGATATGGTTTGCTGTCTCTGAAGATTATTTTGTTGTAGACATCTCAGTCTAGCCTACAGCAACATGATCTCCCATCCATGTATTAACCAGTCCCAGTTCTGCTTAGCTTTTGAGCTCAGGCAAGATTGGGCAGATGCTGCCAGGTTATTTACTATTTAGTAGCCTTCCATTAAACTTCATCTTTCTGGGCATCCTAGATATATTTGTTGCATTCATGTGCTATTTTGGGTGTGTGTGCCTTCAAGTCAATGTTGACTCCTGGCAACTGCCTGGACTGGTCCTTGCAGTTATTTTAGCAAGGTTTTCAGAAGTGGTTTGCCCTGGCCTTCTTCCTGGGGCTGAGAGAGAGGGACTGGCCCAAGGGCACCCAGCTGGCGTTGTGCCTAAGGCAGGACTAGAACTCACGCTGTCCCAGTTTCTAGCCTGATGCCTTAGCTACTATACCAAAGTGGCTCTCATTTATGTGCTATAGTTTGTGCATTTACAGAATTTTTAGCTCTTAAATTCAAAACAGTGAACTGAATTCCACACAGGAATGACAAGGCCCTTTTTGGACATACTTGGTCCTCTAGTGCCATCTGTTGTTGGAGAATCAGAAAGAGTCTGATAGTCCTTTGTCAGACTATAGTAATACATTTTATTAGCATAAGTTTTCCTGGGTTACAGCTGATTTCATCAGATGTCTTTAAAGTTAAATTCATGGGGATGAGGCAGTGGGGAAAAAAGGAAGAGACTGGATGGTTATGTAGATGAAGATTCATAGGATTAGATTACATTATCAATGAATGATTGTATTAAAAATCCTATGTTTGTTCAGACTTCCTGAGGTAGCCTGAAAACTACTGATTTATGTAAGCTCAGCTGTCTCATGCTTAGTTGTGCTGGAATAGTCTTTTTGCTCCAAAACTTCTATTTTGAGATCTGTAAGGGAATGTTGTGGGCAGTTAAAATGTTCTGCTCTGGTTGGAGAACAAAATTCACAGGAAACCTTTGATCAGAAATAAAATCCAAACTCCACAACTGAGCAAGAGCACAAAAACATATGCAAACTTAAAACTCTTGTAATATTTTGGCTGGTCCTAATAATTTCTTAGCAAACTATTTATTTAGAGAACTTTTTGCTCATGGTTGTTTTTAATATTATTAATTACCAGCAGCACCATTTCTTCCAGCCTTTTTGAGCTAATTATATGTTAAAGACTGGAGCTTGTAATTTTTTAACTTTTCCCTTTTAAGATATGGAGATGTTATGACATTGACTAATGAACAGTCACTGTTCCTGATCTTTGCTTTAAAAATAACAGTCTTTCAAGTAATCCAAGATGTGCAATTCTGACAAAAAGAAACAGACCCCTGGCCACACTGGCCTTTCAAATGAAATATCTTACATTTACTTCAAAATTGTAAATGTTCGTTGCACTGTAAAAGAATGGAAGTAAGGCAATCCCCTTTTCAACAGCGCCTCTTTAACAGCAGCATGCATTAGCAGGTGATTACCATCACCATCTCAAAAAGCTTCAGTTGCTGATTTGCACAGATCAAATTTTAATTGGATGGGAAACCTACAGGCTTCAAAATATAGCTGAACTACAGGTTCCAGCTTTTCTCACCATTGGCTGTGTGGTCTGAGACTGCTGGGAGTGGTAGTTTAGTAGCATTCTGAAGGCTGTAAGTTTCCCATGAGAGGGAGCAGTAAGCTGAGCCTTTTCCTCTAATAAATATAAATATCTTCCCCAATGCCTGTGGGACCTGTTTGCCACTTTTCTGGGATCAGTATTAGAAATATCTATGCTAACCTGGAATTTATATCCTTCTTAGATTTACTTTCTGCCCTTTCTGCAAGAATTCAGGGCTGTTTCCCTAGGCATCCTTCCCATTGCACTTTCTTCTTGGAACAAATATGTAAGGTAGGTTAGGCTAAGAGCTGGTGACTGGCCAAAGGTCTCCCTGGGAACTTTGTGTCCAAGTAGGGACTTGAGCCGATATCTTTAACGTAGATTGTAATCATTAGGTCACAATGGTTGTTTATATAGCACACTAGTCCTTGATTAGCTGGGATGTGGTTTATTGAATTACCTAAGTTCACATAGTACTTGAACCCACTAATTATGCAATCACAGCCTAGAGTGTTATTGAAATATAGCCAATGGCTATTTGAAGATGTTACCTAAAAAACTAGCTGTCTTTAAAATTGTGAAGCCCTTGACTGTTCATCCACTTGTTGAACTGATTGTCATATCAGCTGGGAATTGACCTGCTCCAGAGGAAGTCAGTAGCTGGTTTACATGTCACATTGAACCAAAATGGGGTTTATATTGGCTTAACACAATGTGTGAATAAGGTCCTATGGCTTAGTTAGCAAACTATAATTTAAAAAGCTGGTTTAATGTGATCTCAGAACTCAGGGGCACACTTTTGACACCCTTTTATAGAAAAAGGCTCTACGTAGTCCTCCAGCATTCAAACATCAGCAGCTGAAGCTTTTGTCATTATGAAAATATGTTACCTCTGGATTTCTGCGTGTTAAAGGACACGGTATGGAGAAGTGCCACATGAGATACTTTTTTTTCCAGTTCAGGACTGACAGGTAGATTCTAAATTAAGAACAATTTTCATAATTGTTTTTGCACTTCTGCTTTTGTTGGCAGACCTTTTATGATGATTTCTTCCCATTTTCACTATCAAGTAACCTTGGTCCCTGTATCTCTCCCACATTTTTTCCCCCGAAACCTAGCTCATGCACAAAATGGGTCCTGTGAGCCTTAGTGAGATGTTTATGAAGCAGTCCTGTCAGCCCCACCAATGGTGTAAATCACAAACGCATCCAGACAAATATAAATTCCAGGGCCATCGTGAACTGGGGAAAGAGGAAGCTTCGGCAAAAGTGGTGAAAGCAAGAAGTCGACTCGTGGGCAGAAAGGTTGGTGGAATGGTGCTTGGCTAAAACCATAGTTCTCATTCTGTCTGCCTGGTTATGTAGATGCTGAACTTAATATTAGTAAAGGATCTATCTTTTACACTTGTTTATTCTCATGTAGTTTCCATTGCTTTCAATGGGGCTTACATTTTATAAGATTGCAGTACAGAGCACTAATCTTAAACAGTTTCTTGGGAGTAAGCCACAGTGACTGCAACAGGATTTACTTCTGAATGGACATGCATAGGCTGGTGATGTAAGAAGAGCAAGTGAATGTGTTCAGAAGCTTGAGTGGTGCCAATGTACAGGATGGTACTATCGTCCTTGATTAGGTTGAATTGGCAATCCGTTTTTTTACAATACAAGAACACCCTGAGATAAGTTTTGCTTTTGATTAGCAGTAGAAAGAGGTCTTTGCAATATGGAAATTTGTGGTGGTTTTTGTTGTTGTTGTTCTTCTGTGAGACATAGTATCCAGTACAAAATGTCTGGCCCCAGTTCTTGCAGACCACATAAGTAGCGAAGGAGGCATGCTCCCTAAGCACTTGGTGGATTGTCATGTGTTAGTGACCCTGATTTAACAGATCAGAAATAAGCCAGGTTTTGGCTCACAAGCTCCAGAAGACATTGTGGAGGCTCCGAGTCTGTTCCATCTTTTCGCTGATGGATCGTGATGCGGTTTGAATCAAGATCTAGGAAACAGAGACCTAACTTTCAAAAATTAAACTAAGTTGTTGATCAACCAATAGGGTATCAAAAGGGAATTTGACTTGTAAGATATATCTAGAGCAGAGTTTCTCAACCTTGGCAACTTGAAGATGCTGGCTGGGGAATTCTGGGAGCTGAAGTCCACACATCTTCAAGCTGCCAAGGTTGAGAAACACTGATTTAGAGAGATAGAGGTAGAAAGAACATTCACTCAGTAGGTGAGAAAACAAATGTATATCTCTGCAGGATTTTAAAAAGATATACTTAAAGGAAATCTCACCAAAAGATTGTATGTCATTACATCTATCATAATAACCAGATATGATTAACAAAATGGGGTTTCATTAAAATTATATTAAAAGGATCATATAGGGAATTTCATCCAAAGGGTAGCTGAGAAATCCTGGGTCAAGTCTTATTTAAACTAGACTGACATTTTGAAATTCAGCTTTCCATTCCATCTGCCTTCCATCTAATCATTCCGCCACTATTAGCCTCTATTTGAAGGAGGCCTGGACTCTGAGATAAAATAATACATTTTGTCCTGATTTGTTCTCACATTCTCTTTTTGTCTCTTTTCCTTTATGCTGGCAGCTCTATATCAGTGTCGGTTAAACCATGACCGAAGTGTCTGTGCAGAAAGACAGTGAGATCAAACGTGAAGATTCCATCATGGGCTCTGGCCAGAAAGATGACAAGGGCAGCTTTGGACCTGATCATCTACCTCCTGTTGGCCAACGTATCCATAGGTTCTCCTCTGTCTCTTTACCGCATAGCCCCAAAGAAGTCTGGAAAAAAGGAGGGCGTGTTTTCTCTATTCTGCTAGCCATCAATCTGGTGCTGCTAGCCTGTACACTAGTCAGTGGTGGGGCATTCAAAGATGTCAAACTGCATGACTATGATGCCTTTTTCATGCTCACCATTGTGATGCTGATTGCCATTGTCTGGATGCTGTTCTATATTTTTGGTACCTCCAAGAGGCAGGGTGCCATCCCCTACAAAGACAATCATGCAGGACCTATCTGGCTAAGAGGTAAGAAGATGCTAGTAACAGTGTACATTTGGTAAGAGAAGAGACAAAGCAGAGCGCAGCCAATATTGTCCATGTGGGAGAAGTAGGTGGAGGAGTGCTGTATTTATCAATGCATCAGCCCTACCTGTATTTGTCAAAAGAAACTCAGTGGCTCCCTTTACATTTATTAAGATTCAAAATGTTAAATACTTGTGAGTAGATGAGTACTCGGGAAGGAAGCTGTGAATCTGAACTGATCACAGCTTGGCAAAGGTAGGCTCTAATCAGAGCTCACAAATGTTCAGACAGCTTCTAAGCTAAGCCTTGGATCCAGCTCAAGCCTGCTTGGGTGTATGTAAGCTATGGCTAAATATGGCACTCAGGATAGATACACATGGAGTGTGGATTGAGAGTTATAAAAGTGAGCAAGCAGCTCAGATATCTTGTCTGAGTAAAAAGATAGTGGTATACCATAAGTCTACTTTCTCAACAAAAACCTGGAGCTGATGCCACCAATGCTCCTTGAATAAACTAGCCTTGAGGATTTGAAAGACTTCTGCGGCTATCTAAGCACTGTTTGTAGAAAAGAATGTTTAATGCTGAAGTTGAAGTTGGACGCTGGACTTGCTCAAGGCAAGATTTATAGAGTAATCAACCAGCTTCATGAGTTTGATGGGTCAATAAAATAGGGCTCTGGTTTTGGCAGAACTGGGACATCACTTGTCCTCTTTCACGAGCTGTGGGTAGAAGACATTCAGAGGTCCATAGAACTAGATTAGACAGTTTGGGTTGTGTACTTGTTATGGGGAGATAATGACATTTGCTTTCTAAAACAGGTGGCTTGGTCTTGTTTGCAATCCTCACATTGGTGATGGATATATTCAAGACAGGATATTACTCCAGTTTCTCTTATCAGTGCTTATCAGCCATCAAAATCATGTACCCAGTTGTGCAGGCTGTGTTTGTGATCATCCAGGTGAGCTTGCATCTGTTATGTATTTAACCACATTTATATGCAGCCAAATCCTAAATGATTAAGGGGGGCATATTGCGGGGGGGGGGGGGGGGGGGGG